GTTTCTTCTTTAAGTCTTTGGTTTTCTTCTTTCTCTTTTGCTCCGGATGAGTAGAGACCAATAGTTGTATCTTAGATGGCATGCGCAAGCTTTTAAGACTCCAGATGCTACTCACCAAACTAGGATGTAGAACATTGTCTTTATGAACTATATTGTGTCAAATGACTGAGTTGCGCCACGAGACTATGGTCCAAGTCCTTAAACCCAGTAGACCAATCCCATGAGGTGTTTGGTTGTATCTAGGAAGTATCCATAACTGTGCCCCCCTATGTGCTTTATTTTATATTTGAAAATATATGTAGCAAACAAATACATGTATGTATTTATATACATATGCCTACAGTTACACCTGTACATGCACATCCATATATTTATATATGCCTTCCTGTACATATTTATGCATACATATATATCTATCACTACCTTTTCTCAATAAAGTTAGAATATAATTTTTATTAAATAAGTAGTTAGGATTTAACCTCAGTAACATCCATATCACTATGTAACCAAATAGTATATTCAATGGTAACATTTCTTGCTATGTAGACTTTTTTTATTATTCTTTGTGGTTAATAATTGCATTTGTTTGCACCACTGGGTAGCCACTGGAAAAAAGATAAAGTTGAATCCACACTCACAGTGCATACCAGGAAAAGCTACTCCCCTCCCCGAATCTTAAGATTTAAATTTTGAAAAAGTAAAATCATAAAAGCACTAGATGAAAATATGGGTGAATTCCTATAGCGTCTTGGAGTGGGGAAGGCCTTTCTAAAACCTTTCAAATATCCAGAAACTGTAAAAGAAGAGATTGGTAAATTCAACTACATAAAAATATTAAGAAAATTCTACATAGAAAAAAAATATATATCAAAACCAAAGTTAGAAGAGTTTGCAACTCATAGCATAGAGCTAATATCCCTTATACAAGAAGTGCTCCTTTTTTTTAAATTTTATTTTATTGTTGTAGTTTAAGTGAAAGTTTACAATTCAAGGTAGTCTCTCATACAAAAATTTGTACATACATTGTTATGTGACCCTAATTGCTCTGCCTATACTGTGACAGCACATTCCTCCTTTCCACCCGATTTCCCGTGCCCATTTATCCAGCTCCTGACCGTCTCTGCCTTCTCATCTCACCTCCGGACAGGAGCTACCATTTAGTCTCATACTCTTCACAAGTACCATGTTATGTCCCATAGTCCAGTCTGATCTTTGACTGAAGAGCTGGCCTCAGGAATGGTTTTAGTGCTGGATTGACAGAGAGTCCGGGGGCCATGGTCTCTGGGGTTCCTCCAGTCTCAGTCAAACTATTACGTCTGGTTTTTTCACTAGAATTTGAGTTCTGCACCCCACTTTTCTCCTGCTCCAACAAGGACTCTCTGTTGTGTTCCCCATCAGGGCGGGTCGGTGGTGGTAGCCAGGCACCATCTAGTTCTTCTGGTCTCAGGCTGTTGCAGTCTCCGGTTTATGTGGCCCTTTCTGTCTCTTGGGCTACTGCTTTCCTTGTGGCTTTGGTGTGAAGTGCTCCTTCTTGTAGAATTAGAAAAGACCAATAGAAAAAGTGGTAAAAAAAAGCATGAATATTCAGTTAATAGGAAATGGAATACAAATGGTCTTTAAAAGAAAAAAAAAACCAAACCCATTGCCAGCGAGTCGATTCCAACTCATCCCGAGCCTATCAAACAGAGCAGAACTGCCCCATAGGGTTTCCAAGGAGCAGCTGGTGGATTTGAACTGCTGACCTTTTGGGTAGCAGCCAAGATCTTAACCACTGCACCATCAGAGTCCTTAAACGTATAAAAAGATGCCCAGCCTAGCTCATTGTAAGATAAAGGACAATGCGTCCATGTTTTCTTCTAATACGTTTCTGGTCAATAGATATATTTACTCTTTAACTCACCAGTCTGTTTTTTGAGAATCTCTTTTACAGATATATCTGCACTCATTCAGAATGGTGTGTGTGCGTGTGTGTGTGTGTGTGTGTGTATTCGTTGCAGTATTGTTTATTAATAGCAAGAATTGGAAATAAATGTTCACAATACAGGAGTGGTTGAATAAACCATAGTACAAATTTTCCAACAGTTCTATCATATGCCTACCAACATTGTTTTCTAAAAATTTTAACTTATCACATAGCCTATCCTTTTCTTTCTTCTTCTTCTTGGGGATTTCTTTCCTGCAGCTCTTGCTTCTGCTTCAGTCTGCACTGGGTGATTCTCGGGTCTTGTACAGCTGTAATCTTGGGCTTTTCTTTACCACTTTCCTGTGTTGCAGCCCCTGTTCCCTAGATCCTATGTCAATTTCCTCTTGGTTTTACTTTCTTGTTTTGGTTCATTGCATTCTTTAGTAGGTTCCAGAGAAAAGGTATGTTGCAAGTACATTTTTTTGAATCCTTGAATGTCTGAAAATATCTCATTCTGCCCCCTCAGTTAGTTGATAATTTGTCTTGATATCACCTTCTATGTTGGAAGTCATTCATTTGAAATTTTGAATGTATTGTGCCACATTATTCTATCCAGAATATAATTTATAAAATACTGTAGTCATTTGTTTTCCCATTTTATCTACTTATTTCTGCTACGGAGGTTTTTAGCATTCCTTTGCTATTCATGTTTGGGATTTGTTTTTGTAAAGACAGGAGTGAAAATGAAATTAAGAACCATTTCCTTTCACGTTTTACTAGAAACATAACTAAAAACATTAACTAGAAAAATGAAATTTTAAAAAGGCATGCAAAATTCAAACCCCAATTTGTTGCTATTCAGTTCAACAGACAAAATTAACTCAGTTCTTTTTCCACCGCATCTGTCGATCACATTTTCAGTAACATTGGTGTAGGCTGCCTTCTCTAACTCATTTTTTGCTGAATCTCAGATCTGAGGTTCTTTCTGAAATTCTTTTCCTTCCTGCTTTGAGAATTTCCTTTAATGGGTGGGCTGGTGGCAAATTCTTAGTTTCGTTTGTCTGGAAGTATCTTTATTTCAGTTTGATTATTGAAAGAAATTTTTGCTGAATAGAGAATTATTTTTCTTCAACATCTTAAAAATATTTTTTTACTCTCTAAGAAGTCACCTATTTAATTGTTTCTTTGAGGGTAAAATTGTCTTTTTCTCTGGCTAGTTTTAAGATTTTCTTTCTGTCTTTTATTTTCTGTAGTTTCACCATGGTATGTCTATATGCGGATGTCTTTATTTTGTCTCTGTGAACATAGTAAGCTTAGCTTTTGTTTTTGTTGTTTTACAAACAGCAGCCTGTCTGATAACCCCTTATGGGTCTGTTTCTGTTGATTTTTTTTATTGCCTTGCCTTTTCACGTGCCCCATAAACTTTGATTGTTCACTAGACGTTTTATTTGAAAAATCACTTTTAGAAATACTTTTATTTTTTTTTTCTTGTAGGGCCCTGAGGGTACTAGCAGACCAAGCTTGAAGTTTCTTTGGACCACTAATTGACCTTCTAGAGTATAGTCTATTCTGGCTTCAGACAACAGCAAGGGGTGTTACTCAAGGGTCTTTGTTTTTGACTGACGCTAAACTCTGACTGGTCCTTCTAGCCCGACAAGTCCACCAAATACGCAGCAACTCTGCTCAGATCTGCATAGGGCAAAAGTAGCAGCCTTTCAGGGTCCACAGGTAGGGAGTGGGATGAAATTCACCACAATCTCTGCCCTGGCAGCCATAAATCTTCAATCTATTCCTGCCCCCTTGCCCCTAACACACTTAGTTGGTTAAACGTGGAGCTCTCTCTAGGAATCCCTGGGTGGTGCAGATGGTTAAGCGCTGTACTAACTGAAAGGTTGTCATTTCAAACACACCCAGAGGTACCTGTGAAGTAAAGCCCATCAGTCTGCTTCTGAAAGGTCACAACCTTGAAAACCTATGGAGTGCAGTTCTGCTCTGCACACTTGGGGTCTGCATAAGTCAGAACTGACTCTACGGCAACTAACAACAGAGCCCTCTCTGTGCTGCCTGTCAGCCTCTTTGAACTCTAATCATCTTTGTGTCTTCAGCCTGGTCATTTATTGATACTTTGTTAGGGCCTCAATGCTCCCAGTTTTTTAGCTGCCCTCAGTGGGAGAGTTAGTTAACATTACCAGGTCGGCCACAGTCAGACCAAAAGTTTACTCTGGAAAAGCATGACAAGAAAAATATAACTTTTAGTATAATGAATATTATAGATGGAATTGCGTCCCCCTAAAATGTATGTCAACTTGGCTAGGCCATGATTCCCAGTATTGTGAGATTTTGTCATCTGATATGATTTTCCTATGTGTTGTAAATCCTACTTCTATGATGTTAATGAGGCAGGATTAGACGCAGTTACGTTAATGAGGCAGGACTCAATCTACAAGATTAGGTTGTATCTTGAGTCAATCTCTTTTGAGATATAAAGGAGAGGAATGATCAGAGAGACAGGGGGCCTCATACCACCAAGAAACAAGAGCCAGGAGAATAGCACGTCCTTTGGACCTGGCGTCCCTGTGCTGAGAAGCTCCTCGACCAGGGGAAGATTGATGCCAAGGGCCTTCCTCCAGAGCTGACAGAGAGAGAAAGCCTTCCCCTGGAGCCGACCCCCTGAATTTGGACTTGTAGCCTACTAGACTGTGAGAGAATAAATTTCTCTTTGTTAAAAGCCATGCACTGTGGTATTTCTGTTATAGCAGCACTGAATAACTAAGACAGTGTGGAAGGTTTTTCTATTTGTTTAAGAAAATTCTAGTTGAAGTATCTTGAGTCGGTACTGTTGACATGACTTTTGGACTTGCTATTTAAAAAGTTAGTTTTCTGATAAATGTATTTGGAAATATTTATACAAAGACTTATAAGAATTAAGAAAAAAAAGTATAGAGGACGAAGTCTCAGCGCTGTATGTAACTGAATTCACCAGGTTCTTCTGGATCCTTTATAAATGGTTAAGGGCTTATTCTAAATCAAGTGAATGTATTCTTATTTAAAGTGTTATTGATTAATCTAAATACCTTCTCTTTTTTTTCTGTTTTAGGGAATACAGTGAGTAATCTGATTATGATCATACCTCCACTCTTTGGTGCAATTCAGAGTGTTAGAGATGGACTGGAAAAGCGGTACATTGCTTCTTATTTAGCACTCACAGGTATGTATAACCCTTCATCTGACAAAATGACATAATATTCAGACAGTTGCTTTTCTTATTTCTAAACGTGGTTCTCTATTTTGTGCCGTCTGTTACACATCTTAACCACATTCAGGAATTTCTGAATTGAAACGCCACAAACCTTGCCAGTAAATTGAACTGCATTTTGAGTAATAACAAATAACAACAACAAAAATCATGAACTGTTTCAAGCATACTGAAAAGAATAGAGGTAATACACCTACTCCTTTCTTATTGGCTATCTCATTATCCGACATTTCACGTTTACCACAATAGTAAAAACTCCACTATCCGACTATTTTGTGCATTAACAACCCTCCACACCCTCACTTGAACAGCTAGTTCAGGCTGTGCAGAGGGAAGAGCGGCACCGCCCCTGCCAGGGTATTTAACCCCAGTCTGGAACCCACTGGGAGCCCTAGCTCCGACTCTGACTGGCTCCTGCCTCTGCTCCCTCTTTCAAGCTCTCTCCTGGTGCACCCCCGCCCCCAGCTTGCCTTGCACACGGGCACTGGCTGGCAGGTACCAGGAGCAGCATGGGTGGCTTGTGGTGGCAGCCATCCCCTGGCTGAGGCTGCCGCACACCACCCAGCCCACTCTGCCCCACTTCACCTACTGAATGCCCCGCGGAGCCCGAGCTGGGACTGCGGGTGGCTGAGGACACCTGGCTAGCAGCCCGCAGCATGGATTTGGCTTCTGGCAGGTAGAGTGAGAGTGAGCCTGTGACTGCCACAGGTAGAGAGGGGCTATAGCTGTCCAGCTGGGAGGGCTGGGGAGGAGGGGAGGCTGGGGCAGGAAATCGCAAGTATTTCGCATAATGCCAATTTTTGCATAATGATCTGGTCTTTGGAACCTAACCTTGTGGATGAGTGAAGTGTGGGTGTATAACAAACACACTCATGTATCTTATCACCCAGCTTTTTCATGTTAGATCTTAACAGTTTATAATACTTATTTCAGATTTTCTTTTTAAAATAAGGAAATAAACTGCTACTTATACAATTGAAACATCCTTTGTGTTCCTGCCCAGTCCTTTTCCCCTCAACCTCCTAGTCCATCCCCCGGAATTAACATCTATCCTGAATTTGATGTTTATCACTTTTTTGCACGTTGTTATATTTAAACTACGTATATATGTATCCTTAAAAAGTATATATAGTGTGATTTTGCATATTTTTAAACTCTTTGTAAAGCATACCATACTGTATCTAACCTTCTGCAACTTATTCCAGCCCCCCCCAACATTATATTTTAGACTAGAAATTGAACTATATCAATACATGTAGTTCTAATTCATATTTACTGGTGTCTAGTATTCCATTGTGTGAATATACCACAATTTATTCATTCTCTTTATAGACATTTTCCCAAGTTTTCATTATTACAGATAATGATGAAATGAACATTCTTAAGAGTCTCCAGGGTTTATGCCTGAAAGTGGAATTACTGGGTCATAGATGTATGCATACATCTTTAATAACCAAATTTCTCTCCAAAATAGCTACTGATTTACTCTTCAACCATCAGTGTAGGTCCATTTGTCATTCCCTTTATCAAGATGGCCCTGCTTTAATTGCTGTAGCTTTTTAAAAATACCTGGTGCATCAAGTCCCCCCACCCTTTTTTTTTTTTTTTTTTTAATTGTCTTGGCTATTTTTAGTTATTTGTCCTTCC